TATGGAAAAAAACAGTAGGTGTATGGAAAGAGCTACAAGAAAAACAGTAGATGCAGAGGCGTACTTCTTCGTAATTGGTAAATCAAATGAAGATAAACTTAAGACCAGTAACAACTGCGTTTCTGTGGCTTCTGCCGCCCCATGACAGTTGTTGTTTTAGATAATAGCATTTATTGACGTGACAACGTCTTAAATTAGGTTGCGGCTGGGAGTCACTTATGAAAAAGTGTAACGCTCGGTAACGTTACGATGAGTCTCTCGTGTTAAGTTTAAGTTTACATGTACAATGTTTTAGTAAACAAAATATATTTCTATAGTTAAAATTTGTGCAATTCTTATTTTCATTCAATTCCTTGTTCCTATTGTGCAATTTAATTATATTCATATCAATAAATATTCTACCGAGAAAAAGACGTTGTCACGTAAAATCTTCGCCCGTAAAACCGACTTTACAGGCAACCATTTTTTTTTTAAATTAATAATAACAAAATAAGGTTACCTACATTATTAATGACCGAAAGTGCAACTCAACATGCAATTTAATAAAGAAAATCGTATTATCATAAGAAAAACAGGAGATTCATGTACAAAAACAGTAGAACAGGAGAAATTTCAGAAAAACAGGAGATCTCCTGTAAAATCTGGAGACCTGGCAACACTGGTTGCATGTGATTTCACATGTATATCCGTGTATTATTTGATGACCTTGAGTAAGCTCTCCGTTCCATAACGTAAAAGTGTAAATGAACGGAGACGAATACGCACGTATTCGGGTAGATTTCCTTTTGTTTACCCGACACCGTCTTCCAGCCCGTATTCCAGTGTAAATATTGCTTGGGGTTCCCGAATTCGGGTAATGTCTTTCGAGCCCCGGAATACAGGCTAACGGCCAAGTGTAATTGAGCCATAAAAGATATCGGATATTACACGAGAAAGATTCCCATTGAATCTCATAATCAAGTACTCCATTGCATGTATGTATACGTTTGTCTATCCTAGCAAATTATCCTCACATTTCCCTGTATAATGGAGATATTCCATGTTTAGATATGGTGTCTCGTAAAGGCGGAAGCGACGAGATCGGGGCAATAAATCTTTGTTATAGGCTATTTAACTGTATGAAAATTGAAGTACCAATTTATTGGCATGCGCATATAGGAATATTGAGAGTGATTTCACTGGAAAAGTATCTTTTGATCTATTGTCACGCGATCGAAAACGCCAAGGATCAGCGGAGCCAAAAATGACCTCACCTTCTTGTAAACATGCTGTCTAATTGACATTATTTTGTACTGGAAGGCGTTATAATGAGAGCCGCGTGACGTCACCTGCCTGTGTATTATTTGCTAGAGAAACGTTTCCGCGGCATATTTGCAAATAGATATTATTTTCTTCATTTTCAGAAAATATAATAAGGTGCTACTTAATCGTTAAAAACAAAAAGCAGCCTCCGAGGGCCCTACAAGACTCCTACAACATCATAAAGCAACATGGCCGACGCAGCCAGAAGAGGAGTAGGCATACAAGCATTCCTCTCTGTCGCATTGGGCATACAAACGATCTATAGCAGGATTTGGCGGAGTATTGTGTCATTGTGTATGTGTGTGTAACGTAATTATGGTTTTGTTTTTTACGTATATATTACGTACATTAAACCTGTATTAATTTTTATGCATATCCCCCCCCCCCCCCCCCACCCCATATGGTACTCCCTTCTGTGTACAAATAGAACAACGCGGCTGGCGCAGCTTGGAGGGGTGAAGGGTATAGTAGGCATACACAGCTTTGCCCGCTGTCGAATTAGGTAAAGAAATCACGATATAAGTAAGTTTGCAGGATTTGGTGGTGTATTGTGTCATTGTTTGAGTGTCGTAGTTACAGTTTTGTATTTAAGGCATGTGTGTACGTTAAACGTTAAACTGTATTTGTGATCGAATTCCCCCCACAAAAGTGGTAAAATGATTTGAGTAGTAGGTATTATGTCGGACCTTCCTGCGCACGTCTGCGGAATCCCCGCAATACCCCGGGAGACCCCTGCCGTGGAGCCTCGGCTAGGCCGGTAGGCTAATGGGTGCAGGACGCGGCAGAATCCCTAAACGGGGATCCCGAGATTTTGTTATTTTTGCGATTAAAGAAGAAATACGTGAATTATGAACTCAAAAAATACTTTCGTGTTGTTAACTTTAATCTAAACGAAAACAGACTCGATGGAACCTATATTTGAATGGTGAAAATAATACATCAAAAACTTACTCTGTGCGAAACATAAATGACTAAAACCTAATCAGTATATAAAGTGAATTTGTGTTTAGGGAAAATTTTAATCTTAAAAGCGTAATTAATATTTATAGACACACCTTCTGAATAATAATCTTTGTCAAAAGTAATACCTAAATTAGAGTCTGCTTTCAACTTATTCGACGGCTGAGTGGATTACGCTTTGAGTGGTCTTTACGTGCGAATCTGAAAGTCTTAGGCTCGAATCATGTTGGAGGTAGAATTTTTATTCCAATATTTTCTTTTTTACATTTTTGTCGTTTTGTTTTTCTTTAAAATTATTTTTTTCCGTATCAAATAAAAAAATACTTTTAATAAATACAATTTTCTAAGTACGTAAATACGTAAAGTAATTCATGTGAATGTTTGGGGCTGTTGCCTAATTGAAAATGTTGAGGACAAAACATTTGTCAAATGGGACAAATGTATGATGGCTTTTCATCTTGCATGCATGTCGATACCTGATGACCCTAGTGAATCAGATGAGTTACTCTGCTGGAAGTGTCCAAAACGTATGATCCACTTACAACTGAACAACGGGGAAGATCGCACGCCATTACGCAGTCCACTGCACACTTTCTGCTTTGACGAAGATTTTTTAGGCATTAATATGTCCTATCCTGCAGCAGCATCTTAAGCTATATCTCACTGAATATTAATATGGTTTTGTCGGAAGTCGATCTACTGCCACTAATCTTATAAACTTCACAGAACCATCACATTCAACAAGATGCAGGTAGTTCATTCAAGAAAATAGTATGTCGTCATTTATACTGATTTCACAAAGGCCTTTAATAAGGTCTCACACGCTCTACTATTAAATAAATTGTCTGCATATGGTATAGAAGGCTCCCATCTCTCATCGTTCAAATCTTTCCTAAAAGTCGTTATTTTTATGTTGTGATCCATGGTTCTCAATCGGTCGGCCGTCCTATTACTTCAGAGGTTGCGCAGGGCACACACTTGGAGCCTACTCTATTCAATCTTTTTTTAAATGATGCAGCTAGTATCTTTAGTTACTCTGAAGTGTTTATGTATGCTGATGATATTAAGTTTTCAAGAATAATTGAACATGAGGGCGACATCAAACTACTTCAACTACTTCTTTTTGTTCTTATATACTTATTTCATTTTCCATTGTGGGTTGCCTGGAAGAGATTGCTATTAAGCAATAAGGAAGAATATTATTATTATTACTCCAAGCTGATCTGAATGCATTTGTGGATTGGTGTTACCATAGCAAAATGCACTTAAACTTAAAAAAATATTATTACGCAAAGCTTACACGAAAACTCAACTCATTAGCCTCTTACTATATGATAGCTCATGATAGAATACAGAAGGTGGAGACAAGGATCTAGATGTTGTAGGTGTTGGTCTATCCTGGAATTTAATTCATATTATCAGTAACTTATTGTTCTGTCTTATTAAATAATAACATTTTATAATCTAATGTTTAAAATCGATTTAATAATCTTTTTTCTTTATGTAATTTAATAATGTAATTTTTTCGTTTAATAAATTGTTGTCGCTCTTACTAATGCATGCGGAGCTAACCTGTAAGTGTCTGTTGCAGTCTTCTTCTTCCATGAGCATAATGTAATTTAGGCTAAGTTTTACTGTAAACAGACGTTAGTTAGTCCAATAAATAAATATCTTAAGAACCGTTTTAGCAATTATTTCGGAGAGGAATGAGCACACAAGTGCAATAGATTTGCCTATGGCGTCCTTTTCTTTCTGGTCGCGTCCGTGTTGCTGTAAGTACCAATTCATAATGGCTTTTTCTTGTTTTCTCCCAGGCAGGGGAGCGGGTGTGAAATCCTCATCGGTGGCTACCCCACAGCCGGCGGCAGGATTATGTCAGACTCTAACTGACTTAAAACACACCTGTGCGTGAACGCTTCTAGCCCATAAGGGTCTTACAGGCTTTGTCTGATGCAATCACCTCCTGAGAAGGGTATGTTGCAGCTCTGCCTTAGTTAGTTAGTTAGTAACGACTGCATAGTGGGCTAGAGGACGACTGGACTCTGATGTGCACCCGTATCGGATTGAGACTGAGTGACTGAAGGTTAAGGAAAAAGTTGAGAGTCAGAATCAGTTGAAAAGACGCGTCAGAAGAAGAAAAAAGTCGTGGCTCCGAAACATCTGAGTGTAGACTGGTATCGCCAGTGTGGAAGACTTATTTCGTCTGGCACGAGACAATGACAAATACGCAGAGCTGACTGCCAACCTCCATTTGTGGAAAGGCACCTTTAAAAGAAGAAGAAGACTGAAGGCCTCTCAGAATCGGGGGAGCGGGGACTCTCTTACGCACTGCAATGCTCATTTCTCCTCTTCTTATTTCTTTTGCTCTTCGAATGCCAGAAGACCTTGAGGTTATGCGAGAGTTTTTTAGGGGAGTTTAAAGGACGTTCCTCGGTCTGCGGGTCCTGTAAGGGTTGGGTGGAGAAGGGGCGTACGCGGACACCGATAGGATGAATGGGTTCGAGTACTCTTCCGCGGATTTAAATCTTTAAGGTGGGGTTCGTTATGGACAAATGCTTCAGATTTATTTGAATTCCATAAGATCATGACTTGAGCCATCCGTAATCTTTAGTAACGAGCCACTCAACCGTCAAAACGACTTACTCGCACTCATCGACCCGAAGGCTGTAATTAAACTCGGGCCCACGCCACTCTCGTGCAGACTTCCCTTTCTATATTAGCCCCGATATCCGACTTTAATGGAGTTCTTGCTTTTTTTAAGCCTCGCTACAGATAAAGCCGGGATTAGAACGTCGTTCGAATGCGGCTACACGATCAAGAGTTTCAGGAGTAGAATAAAACTTATCAATTTTGAAAGATGTAGGTAAGTACTGAGGTATTGGACGGTACGGACCTTTAATGTACTTTCATAAAATTCAAACTATATTGTTATAATTGAATATAATATACCTGTGATTAACTCAGAACCTTCTTCGTTTTAAAGAGTATGTACCTCTGTTATATTTTCGCAAATTTCTGACCAAATTATGAAATCCGTGCAAATTTGTTGTGCAAGTTTAATCTCTTAAGCTGTTATCACTCATAATACCTACACAGATTCTGGTCTTCTAGTATTTTGTAACAGATTAAGATAAGATTTTACAGAGAGGTATATACATACTTGGTTTCACTTTTTTAAAAAATATAAACGGAAATCCTTATAAAACTACTTTGACAACCGTTTTTGTTTATTCGATCTTAGTAATTTCTAAAAAAAAAGCTATTAAGCTATAAGATAATTATTAAGTACCCATAAATACAACGCGGTTAATTTATTAATGTAACACTAAGTTAGTGTCCATTTGACAGAAGCATAAAGTTTAAATTACCGAAACTGGGTGACATGGATTTTACGATTCTTAGTTATGATTATGCCGTAACTTGAGCTCAATTTAAGTTATTGCTGATTTTATGGTAATACATCATTGATATCCTTCTGTTTATGTGAACTATAAATAAATATGTATACCCTATAAGATGAAAGCAAAATAAAGAAGTATTGTGTTTACTATTTCAAGCATGTAATATTAAACTTTCCCGATTTGACGGAAACACATTTTTTCGTCTCCCAATTTTATTCCGAGTGTTCTTTTTGCGATAATACATAAATGTGAAATTCATTTTTTTAACGCCCTCTCATAAGATCATAGACAAAACATAAATGTTTGAATAAAATTTGATTTAAAGATATAGTAATAAATTTTTTTCGCGTCTGGAACTCTGGATTATCCACATAATGAACATACGTGGAGGTAGTACATAATTATGGACCTTATTGATGGTAGTAAAAAAATATTTCGAAGAATAAATTAATCAAAATTATCGACTTTAATGAAAATTCTTAAAATATTTAAAAACCAAATGTTTTCCACCAAAGAATTTATCAAAAATCAAACAAAAACCATAGTTCTGTTGATTAATTTAATCAACATTATCGATTTTAATAAAATTTATTTAAATATTGAAAAACCATATTTTTATTACCAAAGATTTTATCAAAAATCAACCGAAAACCATAGTTTTGTACCTTTCTTCTTTTCTAGTTGTAATATTTCGATGCATCAATATAGTGTTGGGTAGGACACGACTTGAAAAAGAGTTAGTAAGAGTAGCCTCTTTTTTGTACTGAGCCAGTACAATGTCCCACTTCAAATGAGGCGAGGCGTACTGAAGTTCGGCAATATATTTGAAGTGACAAGTACAAATATGACTTTGAGGCTTACTGAAGCTCGGCATTACTATTACTAATATTATTTAATTAATACTATACTTTTATTATTTAATTAATGATTGTAGTAACAAGTACAAATACGACATTTAAGACAACTTTTTTTATGACAATTATATTGTTTCGGATCTTTAAGCGATTGGCGTGTGATTATTGTGAACCATTTTGTATTACTATTTTATATTTGACATAATCGTATCATTAATTAAAATTGTAAGTTAAAGGTATTAATATAGTGACGTACGCATTTGAGTTAAAAAAATACGTAAATATATTTGAATGTATAGAAACGAACAGGTATCTGCCTATATACTTGTGTCGTGTTGTGTTGTGACGCGATCGGTTTAATACATTTAGTGCGGTTAGAACTATACTTGTGTGTCGCGATGTATCGACAGCGTTTTCACTCTAACTAAATGTATGAAACAAATAGCTCTCTAACACCACACAACAGTGTCATGAATTACCCGACTAATTAAAATGTAATGCCTCGCTCTGTCTCAGCCTGTAGTTGACTTACGAAGAGTGAGTAAAAACGAGACGCGCCAGTAAGCAGTACATTTTAAAATTTTGAGTCGCTCTTACATTTTCGACGTCATGTCCGGGACAAATCTTACCTACCTCTTGTATGTAGGACATACTACATCAATACATCACCATATCTCCGTAGGCCATCAAAAGGAAATAATAATAACAAAAAATCGCCTGCAATACATCATATGACTAGCTAAGAGATTTATAACAGCACAACAAAAGGATTTACTTTGAGGAGGGTGCGACGTTTCTGGACGCTAAAAGTGTTTTTGTATGGAGACAGACAACCACATTGTATTGTGTGCCACTCTTCTTACAGGACTATGTATATTTTGGATCATATAAATATATATATGACGATGATATCATATAATGACTCTACGCAAGACTAGGTCAAGGGCACCCTCTAACTATCTATAGTTATCTACTATATAAAAATAAGTCGGGTTTTCCTTCCTGACACTATAACTCCAGAACGCACGAACCGATTTCCACGGTTTTGCATTCGTTGGAAAGGTCTCGGGCTCCGTGAGGTTTATAGCAAAGAAAATTCAGGAAAAATTAAAAAAAAACTTCTTTTAATCACCAAACGAAATGTTACATAAAACGAAGCCATCTGGAGGCGAAACGGAGGTCGCCGGGTTTGCTAGTTATATCTGAAAGTCTGTTGTGGGGTCATTCATTTCGTTACAGAGTTGTTGAAAAGCAGTGGCGGTTTAAGTCCATCAACCTTTCATTAGCCATCTGCTATTGTCCGTTTCGAGTCCGAGGAGCTCGATGGCGCAAGTGGTTGGCGCGTTCGGTTGCGATCGTTGAACTTAAGCAACTTTCGCAGTGGTCGGTCATTGGATGGGTGACCAGAAATTACTATCTCGAGCTCCTCCGTGCTTCGGAAGGCACGTTAAGCCGTTGGTCCCGGCTTCATCTGCAGTCGTTAGCGCCCACCAATCCGCACTGGGCCCGCGTGGTGGGTCATGGCCCAATCTCCCTATTCCATCCACTGGGAAGTCCTGTGCCCCAGCAGTGGGGACATTAATAGCTGATGATGATGATGATTGTCCGTTTATTAACCGACTTCAAAAAACGAGGAGGTTCTGTGTTCCAAAATTCTTTTTTTTTATTCGAAAGAGTGCACTTTCGAGGTGGTCTCATTAGAACCAAGTCAGGATCTGATGGTAAAATCCGGGGAAATCGAGGGAAACCAAATTTCAAAGGCACGCACGATGTTTTTTTATGTATGTTCACCGATTTCTCCGTCAATTGTGTTATTGTTTACTTGGACGATGAAATTTTCACTAAAATAGATGAAATAAATAATTTTAAACAAAAAATAAAACCGACTTCAAAAATTTAAAATGGAACTAATAAAAAGTAAAAAAATAATATCGGGTTCATGATTTGGAAGTCGAGCGGGTCAAGATTGAAACATTAAATAGATTTTTGTTTCTGATCGGTAATAATACGTCTTTCTATCTTGACCCGCCCGACTTATAAATCATGAACCAGATATTATTATTTACTTTTTAGTTCCCTTTTCGATTGTGAAGTCGGTTTTATTTTTTGTTTTTTTTTTTATATAAGAGCGAAAAAACAAATTGCTCTTTTCGTAGCGTAACTAAAAAATACGCGCTGATGTACCTATGTATAAAATACGTTACCATTACCTCCCGACATTATTGCAAATACCAGTTCCTATATCACGTTACTGCATTGCCTACGTGCTTGTCAGAATGTAATAAAAATTACGCTACGGACCCTATTTTTTTTTTTGTGACGAGGGGAAATGCAGTTACGCACCGTACCGTGACGCTGACTAGGCGCACGGCGTGTGTGGGACTCGCCGGCACGGGAAACAGTGCCGACCTTACTCAAGCAGGACCAGTGCGGAAGGCCACACTGATCCTACTCCACTAAAACCCCCCGGTACCCTCCTACGCCCGTATGGGGGCGTCTCGGGGCCGACGCACCTGCGTGCGCCACATCTCCGAGCACGCCCCCGACCACGCTACGGACCCAGGCAACCGCGCAGTTGAACAAAATTGCTTCCATAAGAAACCGTCACGTGTGATCACTCGCTAAAATTTATTATCTGTACCCCTAGCACGAACCAATATCGAATTCGAATAGTTTGTACGTGCGAAATGTCAATGTCAAATTTTGTATGGAAACTTGAACAGCAGCGCCGCAAAGTACGTAACAAGAACACATCAGCACAGTTTCCATACAAAATTTGAAATTGACATTTCGGTTCACAAACTGTTCGAATTCGACAAGGGTTCGTGCTAGGGGTACTGTTCATTTATCAAGGGAATATGCGATATCTAGTCAAACCTACACCTTATATGTACATATTTGGATGTTTGCTACTTTTTAACACAGAAAGTATAAAGATAAATACTTATTGTACTGCAATTAAGATTTGTGAGGAATTCTAGAAAAAAAACTAGCTTCGTAATTAATTGAATCGCGGGGACATACCTGGGGAAGTAACCGCCTTACAAAAGAGTACAGTAAATTACACTACCTTTTGTTGGTGTTGTGTTTCTGTCGGTTAGTAAGGTTCCAGGGCTCCAAGGGGTAGAGGGTTGGATCAAGTTAGGCAACAGTGCGAGTGATATTTTTGGTATCGGAAGCGTCTATAGTCTATGGTGGCCGCTTACTATCATGTGGGCCATGCTTTCGCCATACTTTAATTTTTTCGAGTACTTATAATAAAGAAATCTTGTATCATTAATTAATTAGGTAAGAGTTCGTAAATACTTTGAAATGATAATGTTAGTTGTTGGAAGCACGGAAAAGTCAGAGGAAATGTTTCTTAATATAATTTTAATTTCATGAGCTTCCTTTTATTTAAACAGCTTTGTTATTTAGGAAAAAATAATTAACCGTTTCGACGGGTTTTTTTTCACATTTCACTAGTTTGATTTCCGGTTGTGGCAGGTAATTTTAAAGAAATCTGTGCAGTTCTACTTATTATTAAAAATAAAATGATGTCTTCTTTCAGTAAAATATCCTATCTTCAATATTTAATGAGCTCGACGGTGCAGGTTGTTAACGCATGCGGAGGAGCTGGGCCTCACCCACACCAAAATTGTGGACATGGCGCGGTTGGCTATCGAGCTGCCGTCCGAGGGGATTGAGGGGGGCTTGGTCATCAAAACCATTCGGACGGGGTCCAGGCTCCTGCTGGTCTCGGGCCCGTATAGCAGGACGAAGGCTGACGCCCTGGCCAGGCGTATGGGCGAGAGGCGTATCGTGAAGGAGTACGCCGAAGTCAGCAGGCCTGAGATAGGCACGGATATGAGGGTATCGGGGCTAGATGGGTCCCTCACCCTAGACGAAGTCAGGGAGGCGGTGGCCATGAAGGGGGGCTGCTCCACCCGAGAGGTGACTGTAGGAGAGTTGCGCTCGGGACCAGGAGGCATGGGGGGGACGATCGTTCGATGTCCCGCATAGGCCGCCAGAAAAGTGGCGGACGGTGGGAGGATCCAAGTGGGCTGGAGTCTAGCACACGTGAGGGTCCTCAGCCGGCGGGCACACTGCTTCCGGTGTATGGGAAGGGGGCACGTGGCGGCAAGGTGCCCATCTTAGGACGACCGGAGCACACTGTGCTTTAAGTGTGGGAAAGCGGAGCATAAGGCGGCGGAATGCAATCGCTGCGCCATATGCACAGAGAGTGGCCGACTGGCGGACCATGTCATGGGGAGGGGGAAGTGTGACCCGCCGGTCACTCCACCCGCCGTACGGGCGCCCTCAAAGGGGGGATGTCCGAGTAGCCTCGGCCGCTCGGACCCCCCACGAATGCTGGCGCCCGTGTTTCCCCCCTCTTCTCCTAGGAGAAGACGCGAGGAGACGCAGGCGACCGGGCGGGGGGAGAGGGACGGGAAGAACTACACTTCCCCTCCTGTTCCCGCCTCCCAGGAACGGTGGCCCCCTCTTATAGTTTTGTCCTACAAAGGGACGGGCACGCCCAAGAAGCCCTTCCGCAACGGATGGGGGGCGGTACGGTGGGCACTGCACTGGCACCGTGTGGCTGCTAGGTGCGGAGCCGTGGTAGTGTAGAAGGTATTCGCAGGACTTTTTTAACGGATTTTATGCCGTAAAGCGCCCGTAAGAGTTACGGGGTCCTCGGTGGTCAGCCACTGGGGGGTCCGTAAGACTTGCGGGAGCCAGGTGTGAGGTCCGTTCGGCGGTGTGCCTCTTAAAGGCGCCGTCGTCTGTAAAAAGATTTTTTACCTGCGTTATAAAAAAAAAGGTTGTTAACGCGTTCGGCTGCGATCGTTGAAGTTAACCAACTTTCGCAGTGATCGGTCATTGGATGGGTGACCAAATTTTTTTTATCTCGAGTTCCTCCGTGCTTCGGTAGGCACGTTAAGCCGTTGGTCTCGGTTGCATCTGCAGTCGTTAGCACCCGCCAATCGGCACTGGACCTGCGTGGTGGGTCATGACCCAATCTCCCTATTCTATCCATATCGAAGGCCTGTGCTCCAGCAGTGGGACATTAATAGGCTGATGATGATGATGAATATTTAATATACTTTCCCTCCATGTAAAATGGTCATGGAACGTCCTGTATAGTAACAGTTTGTTAAACTTAGCAGCACTTTATAATATAATAGTCAAATTTAAAAAAAACTACTTAAGTCATTTTTATTCGATGCAAGAGTTCTTCAATTTTAATAGTTCCTAGTTAATTTAAGCAATACCTTATTTTTGGTAATATTATTTTATTTGAAATTATTATTTTTATTGAATGCTATTTTTCAGTGTTATTAATTATTAGTTCCTATTTTGTTTTTTAGGTTTTCACGCACATCACTCATTAAATAAAACTAGTTTTTACGGGTTAATGCACGAAACTTTATTTATTTATGACGTTATGTCTTATTTTAATTCTGACGACGTAGCCTGTCAAGGCTACGAAACGTCATAAATAAATAAAGTTTCGTGCATTAACCCGTAAAAACTAGTTTTATTTAATAGTTCCTAATTTAGTTCAAGTTAATTTTTATTTATTGAAGTTATTTTTTTTTTAATTAAGGACATTTTATTATAAATTGCGATACCCTATCAGGGTTCATGTGTCTGTAACTAATATTTTATGTAACATCGGTGATAACCACATGAGTGCAATAAAATAAATTTAGTATTTAACTCAGGTTAGTATAGCTAATAAAAAAGTTGCTTACTATATTTTTTATTAACTTAAAAGAAGAAGACCCACACCATGTAAACTTTGATTGTAGAAGAATAATAAAGATTTTAGTATTGTATTTTTTTTTATTAAATAAAAGTTTTTGTTACGTTTCATTATTAAAATCTAACAATCTTGAATACTTTGTAATTACTTTAAAAACTAAAATGTGCTTTCCATTAAACGTTTTAACGATGTAATTATAAAGTTAAGGGTTCGTTGTTAATTCAAGTTAGTTAATAGTTTTGATGTAAGTACAGAGAATTTTCTGACTATTTTGAAATAACTACAAAACGTTTTTTGGTGTAGTTTGACGTTAAACCTTGACACGATAATTATCAAACTGTCACATTTAATATTCGTTTTGAAGAAGTTGAAATGGTTTAACCAATCAAAAATAGCCACGTATGTTCGCCATGGGGTAGGGGATAATTATAAAAGGATCGATATAAGTTTTATTTGTTTATAAGTAAAGTTTCACTTAGAGTTAGTGCGGTGCCTCTATGCTTAAAGTTGGCTTTCGATATCGCCACCCAATATGAATTCCATTCATAAGTGATTTTGTATTAACGTGTTAGTATAGTTACAATGTAATGTAAGAGGAGCTCGATGGCGTCAGTTGTTAGCGCGTTTGACTGCGATCGTTGAAGTTAAGAAACTTTCGCAGTAGTCGGTCATTGGATGGGTGACCAAAAATCAATGATCTCTAGCTCCTCCGTGCTTTGGAAGGCACGTTAAGCCGTTGGCTCGGCTGCATCTGCAATCGTTGGCTCCCACCAATCGGGACCTCAAGCCAAAAATTTTCGAGTGCCTCTAGAGTATTCCAGGCGAATGGCATCTCCTCACGGGGGGAGTGTCCTCTCTGTCTGGAGCCTTTAGACCACTCTAACCTGAGGGGGTCGGCTCAAGTAGAGGGCGCCTCTGAGACTCGGACCTCGGCTCTAGTTAGCCGTTATCGTGGGGGGGCTGATGATGATGATAGTTACAATGTTATTCATATTGGGTGTCGATATATCTTGTTTGTCATATTCTAGAATCCTCTTTGGGGAACCGCATACCAGGGTGTATCCGGCAATAGACAATCACCGCCGGTGCCGCGGGGTACTTGGTTCGCTCGGTTTCAACCCGCACTCCAGACGCGCATTGCGGGTGAACTCACTAAACTTGGATCCCATGTTCCGCACTTAATAGCTGAAGAGGGTATTCACCAGGTTTTTAACGTATAGTATGCCGAACGCGCTCGTAAGTCGCACGGTTTTCTTTAACGGGCTCTCCGTTATCGCACCCGTGAGGCTTGCGAGATGCTGGGTATGAGATACGTTCGTTGGTGCGCCTGTTAGAGGTTTTGCCTGCGTTAACAAAAAAAACGGTCTTCGGAATGCGTGCCGGCTGACAGGTGCAGGATTATTTTCTGGTAAGAGGGCTCATTTTATCGCGCTTTCTGGCTGGATTAAAAATAGTAGGGAGAAGTCCACAGATATCCTCGACGAAAGAAGGTGTCGAACCATTTCCAGAAATTAATAAAAAAAGTCTTCGTTCATCCTATTCCAACTCACATAATATTTAATGCGAGGCCAGGCGACATAACAAATTTCACGAGACGTCGATTATCGATTTTAGGAATACAGCCACAGAAATATTTTCTGTTGCTCAGCACTTTCAAAGAAAATATCTAAAATTTTCGGGGATTTATTATAAAAAAAAATATATGATAATTTAAAGAAAATATAACTAGAAAAAATTCCACGCGGACCAGGCAGCAGACGGGACTCGAACCCGCACCCTTCGCAATCCGGGCGAATGCACTGACCAATTATGCTACCGCGGCCCTCACGGACCGCGTCGAAATTCTTTCTAGCTATTCTTAAGCTGCAAGGCAGCGCCATCTCTTCGCATTATAGGTAAACCCACAATGTCAGATGAATACTTTTACAAGTATTAAACATTTGAAAGAAGAAATAGCAATTATAGTTATAATTTCCGTCCGTTCCGCGTGGAATTTTTTCTAGTTATATTTTCTTTAGATTTAAACATCAAGCAGTTACATGCTTTAAAAATAATAAAAATTATAACTATATGATAATTTATTTTTGTCCGATACACATCAAGTTCCAACAAAGTGTAAAATGTTCGTACTAGATTGTGAATCGTATATTGTCAAGCAAAGGAATATAAAATGAATATAAAGGTTGTCTGAGACTAAAAATTAGTGGCTTGCCTGTGTTTGTAGGTATTTAGGTTGTATTTATTATAAATGTTGTGTTTTGTATTTTCTGTATGCTCAAACGAGCATACGGCACATTTGATGGCAAGTGTTCGGTATCACCGGTCAACCAGGAACATCTACATCACCAGAAGGTATTCAATCGATTAGACTGAATATTGGCGAAGTGAAGGAATTACATTTACCAGAAAACAGCCGAATTGAGAATATCCTTCTTTTTTTAAATCGACTAAAATTGGGCAACAATTGGATTTCAAAATTCATATTAGGCAATGAACAATTTAAGGAGGAACGCAATTTAAAGTTCGAGCCGATTGAGAGTTATTAATTCGTAGCTAGACAGGAGCTTTTGAATTATACATATTTAAAAATGAGTAAGGCTGTGATTTAATTTAAAAGTTAGAAAGGAGTTCTTTCTTCGCTGAATATGATATTGTTACGTGTCGGGATGGGGTTCGAAATTATATGCCAGTTCACGCTAGACAGTTCTTTATTCACCACACAATTAACACACAATGTTAATTACAAAACCTAGCACCTGCGAGTACGAAGTACCTACTTATACCTACGCAGGTAACGCGTATAACTTGTAAACAAGTGCAGATGTCGTTGCACTTTCTCCCTTACGTCACACTGCATAAGGCTCATTTTAGAATGAGCCGCATTACACGACCTCTATCGCGACCCGCGGTGCTCTGGCAAATTCGGTCTCTAGCACTTTCGAGGTTCCATTTCGAGAGCGTTTATGACAATATTTTCAAAACACCGTGTTTTACAGAACATCATATTATCAATAAATCATATTCGCCATAACTAAAGTTTTCATAAAAATACACTTGAAATCAGTGGAAATTCAAAGTGTGTTGGTATAGTTATAATTTTTATTTTTTAAGCATATTACTGCTCGATGTTAAAATCTAAAGAATAGATTATGTTGGTATATTTTTATTAGTCAATGAAAATACCAGTGTTAATACGTTAATCTAGTACATAGGTACCTATCATTTATCAACTTATTTGCTGTTTTGTTTGTTGTGA